TGGAATTCTGGATGGGATCGAATGTGAAGGCACCAGCTAACCTCCTGACCTCATTTCCAGACATTCGGGGCTGAGTCTGCAACATGTGGAGGGGTTCAAGTGCAATGAAAATGCATTTTGGGAACCATGAGGTCAACAGAAGGAAATAGTTATAGCTCTCTAGCATTACCAGGTCCTCTGTTATGAAAATGCATTTTGGGAACCATGAGGTCAACAGAAGGAAATAGTTACAGCTCTCTAGCATTACCAGGTCCTCTGTTCTGGAAGCTTCAGGTCTCCACCCTTACTCCCAAGGGAGACAGAGCCTCTCAGCCTCCACCTTTCCTCAGCCTCCTGTGGCCTGGATATATCAACAGGTGGTGCAGGCACCTGCTGGACGATGGCCCCAATATCCCTTGTATCCTTTGTGCCAAATCACTCCCCTCACTCTCCATCCCCAGGAGCTATCATGAAAGCTACACAGCAAGTCACCCCTTTCCGGCTTACATACTTGACTTGAAATCACCGGAAATAAACTCATGGAGTTCAAAAAACAAATGATTCCAACTCCCTGCCAAAGTCCTAACCACAAAGCAGAAGGAACATAAATGAGCAGGGGAAGTGGCATGAAGGAGAGTTAACAAAAGCTAGGGGTAACGCCCCAAGTGACACACTTCATGTCTCACGTTTAACCCTGAAAGTGGACTGGAGTTCTGCATGTGTAAAACGCAGGTCTACCTAACGGGGCTCACGTATTAGAAGACCGTGCTGTCCTGTGGCTCCTGCCTGGCACACCACTGCACCGCCCTGGGCGGGAGCGGAGGTAGGTCAACCGGAGGCACGAGCCTGAGCTCCGTGGGAAAGAGGCTGGTCCTTGACCAAGTCCTGAGCACTGGGACTGAGGGGCCACGCAGGAGAACCCCCAGCAATACTCACCTGCTGGGCAAACAGCCTCACGCTGGTTTCTGTGCTCTGGCTTCCTGTCCCCCTTCAAGGTCCCTGATGCAGTTTTCACGCCCAGGACCAGGACACAGAAGGAACTCCAGGCAACAACATAGGAACCTTGTAACAGGCTTAAAACATTAAGTTTTTAAAACATTCTAAAATGTGATGTGAACATTGAATAACATGAAATGTTGGACATCAAAGCCCCTCGGCTGAACGTATTGCTATCTCCCCTTTGAAAGCCCTTCTGCAAACACCTGTCACACAGACTATAAGGGAAGTCATCAGCAGTGGCCTGAAGAAGGGCAGGGTCAAGGAGGAGTTCCAGCCAGTGCGCTTTAATAAAACCCTTTTAATAGCTAGCCTCCCCCACCCCCCGACTTCCCTCTGGGAGCTCTGCTTGTCTTCACTGGCTGGGCCACTCTATATTCATGTTCTGGGTCATACTAGTCTCAATGAAAGGGTGTCAAACTTTTACACCCTATTTTATGCCCATGAGAGAGAGATTTCCAGTACTTGCTCACTTCTTAAAATGATCCATACAGCCAAATTTCCACACAACAAAACACAGTGCATCTTGGCATTTCCTACCACAAGATGTGACTTTGATTCGGTCAGGATGCTCACAGGCCCTGCAGTTCCACTTGTCTCATGGATCTGGTATCTACTTGCTAAAGGCACCACCAGCAGGGTGCACCTCTCAGCCAGGGGAGGGCTGCTGGTGGACCCCTCTGCTGCACAGGTAGGGTCTGTGCTACCCAGAAGGCAACTGACGGGGTGCCCGGCCTGGGGACCTCACCACTGTCAGAAGCAAACACAAAAAAGTTCTTGACACGGCGCCCTCAGGCCTGCTGCTGCTCCCTGTAGAGTCAGCCTCAGACTGACGGAGATAAAGTTTCCCTGGGTCCAAGTTCCAAACTCGGCTGTTTTGTTTCTGTTAAAATGCAATTGTTTTTCTCTGGAGTGTACGGTGACTGCTCGGCGTCAGGAAGATGTATGAAAACCTCCACTTCAATTCAGCATCCCTTTTCTCCCAGACAAACACGGTCGGATTTTAATAAATCAAAGAGCCACACTGTTTAATAAAAATTTATTGACTTACAAGTGATTATTTATCAAAAGACCATTAATAGCCGGTACTGAAATGATGTGTTACTGGGTGGTGCTGGGAGACTAATAGGAAATCAATGCAGCTGGCCAGCCAGAATGCATATGAGAAGCCCACCCCCCGAGAGCTAGCGCAATTTCACCAGCAAAATACACCAGACGCTACCCCTGGTGCAATGAAAAGTTCCCCTTTTTTATTTATCGTTTACAAATGAAATGATCAATACTTTTAATCTAGAGCAAAATTTATTAACTTTCCCATCGGAGAGAGACATATTGACTGGGGGGAGAGGGGGGTGTTAGTGCAATGGAAGATGGATGGCTGGATGGTCGTCTCTTAACCTGTCCAAGAGTCAGTGTGCATGCAGCTGCCTTCCATCCCGACGTCCCGGGCCACACAGGGCAAGTGCGACGGGAGAAACCGAGTCTGGCCACCCTAGACATACAACAGGCGGATGGGACCTGCGACACATGAGACTCTCATGCATCAGGGACCATGGGAAGCACTATTCCCCAGACTACTGAGTTTTTGGTCATATCCAAGAAGGAAATGGCAAGACATCCAGTCCCTCAAGACTTCTGCAGGAAAACAGCGAGCCAGCCCTGGCGTGCTGCCGTGAAGGGCTGACACAGGACGGTGCCCGAGGACTCCCCACTGGCCTAGCCTGGGCCTTCAGGGCTGTGGAGCCCTCCCCACCGACACACATCAAGTCTTTTCTAATTTCTGAAGGGCAGCAACAGGGAATAGGGTCTGACAGTCAGGAACCAAGTTCCAAAGTTGACTCTATGTCACAAGGATGTCATCTCGAACGGCTCCATCAAGCTCAGCTTGCTGAGCTCTGGCTTGGTCGGCAGCCTTCTTTCTGTTCACTTCCTCTATCAGGGAGTTTTACCAGCCTTTTTAGAAGGTTCCTTCTCTAACTGGCTGGAAAAAACTCTGTTTGAGCGAAAAAAAGTCTTCCGAGACCCACAATCAAACCCGCCTAAGCACACAATCACCTACAACACTGGACACTCCTTCACACGTGGGGCACTCTGTAGTGGAGTTTCTCTAGCCCCATTGTTTTGGAGGAAGCAACTGGTTTTAAACTGACTTCTTTTGCCCTGGCCAGTGTGCTCGGTTGGGCATCATCGAAAGGTCACCAGTTTGATTCCTGGTCAGGGAACATGCCCTGGTTGTAGGTTTGGTCCCCACCAATTCATGTTTCCCTCTCTCCCTCTCCCTTCCTAAGATCAGTAAAAACATTTAAAAGACAAAAAACCACACACACAAAAACAAAAGCCTGACTTATCGTATTTCGGAACCTAGATGACTTTAGAGCTTAAAGCCAGTTTGAACTGTGGGTTTAAAAGTTACAGAAACTGCAGAAGTGGAAAGGGCTTTAGAGGTCACCCAGCCCAGATCCTTAGTAATGGGTGAAGGGTCCAGAGAAATCAAGTCACAACAGCGAAGGTGATGTCGCAGGTTGGAGTGGGATGGGAAGCTGGCTGGTGCTCGTGCCAGTTGGCGTGACCAAGAGCACGCTCATCACTGCTGGGGTCACGAGAGTGCGCGTCTTTTGTATTTGACATGCTTCTCTGTTATCTCACAGTGCTATGAAGTCTTACTACACAAGACCAACTCATTATCCCAAACCAAGTATCATGACTTACAAATAACTTGGGGCCTGCAGGGTCCCTAATTAAAATGATGGAGCAGTCGGATGTACCTGCATGCTTATAATAAGTACTACATTAAAATTTGGGATTTTGGGGGGCGGTGGGTATAAATCATATCCCCTTCTCCTCGCTTAGTAAAAGAGGGAACTAATCATTGCTTAGTCTGCACAAGTATTTCTTTACATAGCAGTGAATCTAAACCAGGTTCTTCAATACTTTGTCATCAGCAGACAGGTTTGTGGAGAAGAATGTGAGAAACATAAAAATAAAATATTAAATATATATGAAAATCATAAAATGAATGTACAAATCAGCAGAAGCCTTCGTTTTTTTAAAGGGAGTTAAAAAGGGACCTTGGTTTTCGAGATCAATTTTTAAATATCAGACAGCTTTAAAACATTATAAATATCAGTTCTTATAAAGGCTGATAATCACTGTTTACTCTTGAATACTTCGTAAAACAGTTCATAAGAGGCTGTTCTTGCAGTCATATAGTGTTTTTATTTGAGAGGAAAAATTTTTTCACTGGGTAGCAGGTCAGAGGAAACGAAGGCAAAGAGCAGGAAGGATGTCAGGGCGCGAGTTACACTCCGGTCAGGTAGACAAAGTGCCATCCGTTCAGGAGCCTCCGGAGCGGGGCTTCATTCCCACATCCCCACATCGCAGGCCAGGGCGTGGGTATGGAGAGGGGACACTTACCATGGCTGGTACAAAGTCCTGAAAGGTGTGCTGACTGCGCCATGTGGAGTGAGGGAAGGGGGGAAGGAGATGGATAAACGGTAGAGCTGAGGCAACTCTTCTGAAGGAGCTGACAGTGGTGGAGCCCAGAAGCAGGAAGCTGCAAGCGGCTTGGCTTCAGATCTGCTTTCTGCGACTACAGGTGGCACAGGAGGCCAAGAAGCCTTCTCTTTCCCTCTAGCTGAGCGGAAGCCAACGGTGCAAATACCCCCGGCCAGTCCTGCCCCTCACGAACCCTTCAGGGCCTCTGCTCCTGCCTTGCTCCTGGATTTCCTCACGGTGTCCCACTGTTCTCACAGACTGCCCTGCCATCTTGCACTTTCTCCCCACCCTCAACACACCGTGCCCCATCACACACCGCTAACCCCACAGAAATCCACATCTCCATCTAAATAACCCGGAGACACGCAAGCAAACATCTGATACAAGTAGTGTACCTTCTCCCGAACAATACCATTCCTCATTCCAGAAGTCAAGCAGACACCCTCGGGGCACTGTTCTGTAACTCGGTAAAAAACACACTGCTTAGAGCTACATCTAAGGGAAAAGGAGTAAAGGGAAGAACCCCTCTATTCACTGTCAGAGATAATTTTATTTACTCACAAAACAATTCTGAAGCCCTGGGCAGCAGCTCTGAACTCTGACCTTGTCCTGCTGCATCTCGGGGACCTGTCCTCATAACACTGAGCTCCACTGTCCTTCACGCACAGCAGCACTTCAATCCCCACAACAACCCTGTGAGGTAGGTATCACTACCCTTCCCCCTCCTAACCCAGGTTACAGATGGGGAAACTGAGGCACATGTTAACAAAGAGCAAGTCACATGGGAGTTTAGGATGAGCTTTGGAGTTTGAACGTGAAATGACTCTTGGTTCCCACCACACACTAGTCACTGATCCACCTTGCCTCTTCCCATCCCCTTTGGTGACTGCATGAGAATTAAAACTTCATTTTGCTGAAAGCCACTGCAGACAAGTTTTCTTTTTATCAAGTCTGCAAAGCTCCAAGGCTGGGGGTGATGTTTAGGTCGGCAGGCCACACTGCCTTGCAGCACCGCTCCTCACGAGTGGGTGGCCCTTCCTCCAGCCAAGTCCCTGGCAAGTGGGTGTCTGTAACAGACTAACGTCCTACCAGCCCGAACACGGGAATGCGGCCGAGTCTCCCCCACCACACAGCCCAAGTGTGCACCGGTGGAGAATTGACTTTAATGACATTCATTCCTCCAACAGACTTTCAGAGATCCAGGCAGCTCTGAAGCAGCTGGCGCCTGGGATCCAGAGCAGCGCGAAGACCCGCAGTCTGGAAGGAATGCGCAGTGGTGGCAGCGGCGGCAATGACCCCAGCTGGCTCCCGTCAGGATTTGGGCACGGAGCTCCAGCCAGCGCCAGGCGAGGGCTCAGGACCGGCTCCTGTCCTCATGGTTCCCGACAATCATCTTGCTGTAGAGCTTCTGCTGCTCCTCTTTGAAAGCATCCTTCACCTTCTCCCTCTTCAGGCCGCCATCCCTGGGGAGAGAAAGGCTGCACATAGTAGCACAGCCGCTTTCTGCCACCCCGACGTCACAGCCAGCTGCACCGCGCTGCTCAAAACCAAGAAAAAGCAGCAGAAACAAAGATCCTCCATGGTTCTCTCACCAGCATCAATTCAGAAACTGGCCCTGGACTCCCGGAATCCACCCTTCCCACCTCAAACCTCACTCCTGCCCGGGGTCAGAACTCACCACTCACATGCAAGGTGCTCTGAAAGTGCTTGAACCTACATGGAGTTTAAAATTCTCCCTACTCAACATTCACCTGTACTTACAAAAGTCAAAGGAGGTATTCTGGCATTATGTAAAGTGAACCAAGCTTGAAGAAATATTGAGACATAATAAACCTGTAAAATGGAGCTGTGACATAAAATCTGTAAAATTCAGACCCAAGGATTCTCCAAGGGGAAAAACATGTTCTCACTTCTTCTGTGCTCAGGGTTGGTGCCATGGGGGATCCCAGCGCCTCCCTCATATCCCCAAATAAATCCTCTCCACTTGGATTTGCTTCTTTAAAGTCCCACTTCCACCCACTGTCACCCCAACTCTTTGCCTACACCCTAGAATTACCATTATCTTCAATGACTAATGAAAATCCACACCCACGTTCAGCCTTTCAGCCCCCCACCCTTTTTCTTGAGTTCTGGAGGTGGTAGGGGTGGAAGTCTCTGACGAAGCCCATCATGGGCAGACCTTACCCTGGGAGACCTAACCAAATCCACTCTCAAATCCACAGCAAAGGTTTCCTTTCAAAGCAGCCAGCTCGTCCTAATCAGGCCTCAAGGAGCGGGAATATGCAGCAGTGTATAAACATTCTAGCTCTGCAAGTCCATCAGACCTGAGTTCAAAATCTGGCCCATGTTTATTCTGTGACTTTGAAAAACAGTTCCTTAGCCCTGGCCGGTTTGGCTCAGCGGTTAGAGCGTCAGCCTGCAGTCCAGAGAGACCCGGGTTCGGTTCCCGCTAAGGGCACATACTTCGGTTGCAGTTTGTCCCCGGCCCTGGTTGGTCCGTGTGGGTGACAGCCACTCAATGTGTCCCTTTCACGTCGATATTTCTCTCTCTCTCTCTCTCTTCCTCTCTCCCTCCCACTCTATCTGAAGAAAAAATGGAAAACTGTCCTCGGGTGAGGATAAAAAAACGAACAAAAAACAAACGGTTATTTAATCTCTCTGAGTTTCAGGCTGCCATCTGAAAAACGGAAGCAACAATTTTCATACTTCATGAAGTTACTCTGAGGATGAAATAAGATCATCACGCAGAACACCAGCAGCACAGTGTCTATGTGCCTGAGGGCTAAGCTAGATTACCTAACAATCCACAGTTCAGTTTAAAATGTGAATTTCTATACTTTCCCCTCATTGCTCACTCCAGTCTAATGTCCTCCAGAGCTGACCCTTGTGCTTAAACCTAGGGACTCTACGACCCTGGAAGTTTCCCTGAGCCAGCACTCATCCCCATCACTGTTGTTATTGGAGCATAACTGCCTCATAGTCCAGTATAAGGGTCTGCTGGCCACAGGCCCAACCCAACCTGACATCTGTTTCTATAAATTCAGTTTTACTGGATCACACATGCTCATTTGTTTAGGTGTTGTCTCTGGTGGTTTTCATGCCACAACAACAGAGTTAAGCAGCTGCACAGACACCACCTGATCCATAGTGCAAAATATTTACTGACTCTACAGAAAAATTTGCCTATTCCTGCTCTAGTAAGGTAACATGCTTAATGCAAAAATGAAAACTTTTGCCTTTCTAAGGATGAGCCAATTTTGCCAAATACATGAGTTCAGAGAGCCCAGTGCTCCTGAGGTTTCCAGGTCAGCCGTCAGGGCTCCCCCACTTAGAGACAAGGACTGTTTGGAGCCACGGTAGACTGGTACAAACCCCAGAGAGCTACACAGATTCACTACTTTAGATCGGGGTAACAGAGGGCACTTCTGAGTTGGAACTAAGAGAAAGCAGTCAAACTGCTCATTCCTCAGGGCTGGTGAGCCTCATTCTCCATACCAGGGAGAGGAGGAACCTTTCTGAATGGGGTCGACAGTTTAGCATTTCCTTCATAAACTAGTTCTTCTAGACACAACTGATAAAATCTGGCTGACTCACCACAGCAGGTCCACGAGTCCTCCCTGCCTGGCAATGGCAGATTTCACCCTGTTTGCAAACTGGACGGCATCTTCATCTGTCTGTAAGAAAGTGAATGAGACCGCTCAACCTGGGCTCATACAGAGCTAAGTGAAGACCTCTGCACACTGGGGGTGCCTACCTCTCTGGTCATGGGAGGCAGGTACCAAACACTGCAGACAATGGCCCAGCTGGTCATCATTCTCAGCAGATACGTCACCATCCCATACTTGCTGCTATTCCAGAAGGCATCACCAAATTGAGGGTCATACTGAAAAATAGAGGAGAGCCAGGTGGTAAGAAGCCAGCAGTTCTAACAATGAATGCAGCCCCTGGGGCAGTATCACTATTAGCAAGCTGCTTCTAGACCTCTCCACAAACACTTCAGAAGTAATGCTACACCCAGGCAGTTCTGACCTCTAGAAACATTAACCTCCCTTGACTGAACCAAAATACTGCTGTAGATCCCTGGGAAGGACACCCTCAATGGCCTTCCTCAGACAAATGTCCTCCCTCTTTGATTAGTTTCACATCTTACTCACTTTTGGTGTATATCTACTACTTACGTTTTCAAGCATATCCAAAAAGAGATACTAAGATAATATACTTCATATACCCATTCCCCGATTCAATCATTACCAAAATTTCACCATACTTGCCTCATACTTACCTTCATACAAACACCATCTCCTCATGCTCTTCACTCATACAGGTACTCCCCCCAAATAAAGGTATTCTCCTATATAACTCCAAAGTTTTGAATGATCATTTCTAGTGTCCCAGACCAAAGAGAAAACAAGTAGAAAGCTCATGATATGCTTCTGTGATTATGCTTCTAACAAAGCTAGTTATCGTTTAAGCAAGAGGCTCTGCTTTGATTATCCACCCGTGTGCGTCAGGGCGTGGGCGCACATCAGCAGTACAGGTCTCCACCATGGAGGAACTGCATTCCTGCCAAGAAGCAGGCTCATCAGATACTTTCATTTGCCAATGACTTTAATGGAAGCAAAGGCTATGATTCAAAGGCATTTTATGGGAAATGTGGCCAAAGCTGTGACCCTCACTCTCACCAAACAGAAGAATAATTTAAGTGGCAGGTAAGCATGATGGGAGTAGTCCTGGAGGAAGTTATATAAGAAGGAACTGAGCCCTGGCCGGTTTGGCTCAGCGGTTAAAGCGTCCGCCTGCGGTCCAGAGAGACCCGGGTTCGGTTCCCGCTAAGGGCACGTACCTTGGTTTCAGTTTGTCCCTGGCCCTGGTTGGTTGTGTGGGTGGCAGCCACTCGATGTGTCCCTTTCACATCGATGTTTCCCTCTCTCTCTCTTCCTCTCTCTCCCTCCCACTCTGTACAAAAAATGGAGGGATGTCCTCGGGTGAGGATAAAAAAAAAAAAAAAAAGGAACTGAGTCCTTGAGGAGAATGTCTGACCAAAGCTTCATGGGACTGCTACCAAATGTTTGAAAGGCTACCACAAACAAGACATTAGACTTGTACTTATAAAGCAAAGACCTAGGACCAGAGGGTGGAAAAAAAAGGAGACAAAATTTTAAGAGATATGCCACAGAACCAAACTGCCACCAGTGGTGGAAAATGCCCTTGGCCCGCAAGAGCTGCGGAAGGAACACAGGCAGGGAGGTTGTGGAGGGGTCTCTTGCATTCAAGGGGATGGGCTAAGTCTGACCTGTAGGATCTTTTAGGCCTATCAAGCCAAAATTTTATGATTCTAAGAATAGAAACTGGATAATTATTCCTAGTTGAGAACCTGACTACTGAAATGAAGACATTTAGATTTAATCTTAGAATCTAAAAAATTTAGATATAACTACAGAAGGCTTAATGACTTCAAATTACAACACTGAAAGGAAATAAGAAAGAAGAATGAGTTTTAAACGGAAGCTAATGGGTATGATTTGAAGAGTGCTGTTCTGTTCTGTAAAGTACTACAAAGATAAAAAAATATGGTATGTGTCAGTGTGTGAGTCCTTTGTTTATGGCCGAGTCTGTATTCCATGCTGGGCAGACCCTAGAGAAAAACAAGGCCAAAAGCTCAAAACAGCAATACATTGCTCCAAATCAGATGATGACAATTTTGGTGGAAATGCAATAAGAGTCTTGAAATTGGCTAAGGTTATCCAAGTTTGGTTACTAATAACTTCCTAAAAACTAAAAAAGTATCTGTGAAGCAGAAGGTCTTAATCTTATGTGGGCTTCAATCTGTGAATGGAATGAAATTACATGTAAAATTTACATGCCTTTTCCTTTGGAGAGGAGTCACAACTGCCCCAACAGTCTATGTTCCAAACTGGTTAAAAACCACTGCTCCAGAGCAGGGTTCGCACAGTGTGGTTCCTGACCAGCAGCATCAGCAACACCCAGGAACAGTTTAGAAATGCAAGCCCAGTCATCTGCATTTTCACAATTCCTGCAGGTGATGTTGATGCAGCTAGGATCCAAGTACAGTGTTAGAGAGTGAGCAATAGCACTTCTGCCCAGTAGTTTTGTTTTTAATAAGTTTGCATGGGGAAGCTCTGGACTCCTAAGTACATTAAAATGCAGGATGGTGAACATCTGTAATACTTTCAACAATAAAGATTAAATAAAATGCAGGATGGTATACATATGGTGTAAACACCACTCCCCATTCCCACACCCATAGAAGACACTGCTCACAGACTGCTTTCTTTCTTTCTGTTTCCAGACACAGTATTCCTCCACAAATCTCTTAAGCAGCCCTGACCCATGGATCAAGTTACCCTTCAGCCACTATTCATGGGCCATCCCTGACCTGGCGTTTTGCCCAAAGAGGAGGGGCTGGTAAGTGTTTGCAACAGAAGCACCTCTTCTCTCACTGCACCAGCTGTGTTGGCAAGATGAAAATAAGAAATACTATTTTCACAGAATGCTCTGCAGACAGCAAACAGACCCTTGAAAAAGTATGGAGACTAAATTCTAAGCACAGCTAAAATTATCCTGATTGCAACCTAAATACTTTAAACGTACTGACAATAACCTGTGTTGTTGTTTTTGTTTGTTTGTTATTTCTTTATTGATTTTAGAGAGAGAGGAAGGGAGCAGAAGAGTTAGAAACATCGATGACAGAGAACATCAATTGGCCACCTCCTGGGGATCTGGCCCACAATCTGGGCATGTGCCCTGACCGGGAATCAAACCAGCGACCTCTTGGTGCATGGATCGACACTCAACCACTGAGCCACAATGGCTGGGCTGTAGCAGCAAACGTTTAGAAATAATACTATGTATTTATAAAATCAGATGAATGTGAAGAGGGAGATGGAGGAAGGAGAAGAAAGGGAAACTGGTTGGCTAACTGAATCCCATCTCTCTAGGTGAGTTTGAACAGTTAGAGGTACAAATTCCTAAAAGATAGAGGGATAGACTAGACAAACTCTTAGGATCCATTTCACTTTTATAAGCTGTCCTCGGTATACAGATGAGATTGAGACCTAAATCAGTGGAGCTGTTTCTTCCTTCAGTACTAAGGACACACCTGCAGTCATCCATCCTCACCTCTCCACCAAATGCACAAATCCAGCTGGGCAGCTATAGACCCTACTCCCTGCAGTAAACCACCTCCTTCAGGTGGAATACCTTACATTCCAGTTAGGTTTATGAAGACAGAGGTAATAAATGGAGAGAAAGATACAAAGGTTATATAGTGTTCCCCATTTCCTGAATCTGGTGGGGACAGGGAGGCGTGTGCTGGAATCTGGCTGTCCCACATTCAATATTCCCAGTCCCTTCTAACAGGTTATGAACCATATGGAATTCCTAAGCAATCGACCCACACCGGCCCAGCCCCAGGCAGCTCTACCAGAGCAGATCAACCTGCTGATGGTGACACCAGCGCCTTCCTCCATCTTCTCTTGCTGCATCCCGTTCCTGGGAGTGGCCATAATGACCACATGTACCCTCAGAGGTCTATGTACCTTGATAGCAACAGGGTAAACCGTGGCTCCAATTTCAAAACTTCCCTTTTTGAACATCATCACCGATGTATTATTGATGCAGGTTCCTAAAATGCAGGATAGAATAAAATGCTATTTCTTTTGGTCCTTTACCCCAGAGATTAGGAGTTTAAGAACTTATCATAATAATAAAAATTCTAATGACTCTTCAAACAAGATAAATCTGTCATTTCCCTAGGTTATGAATGAATACTTAAGAAAGATGAGCAAAATACTCAGATGCTTCCTATTCTCTTATTATAGGACCATAGTCAGTGATGAACATACAGCAGCCTAGATAAAAGGCTGACACTCAGCAGACTTGGCAGGTCTCAGTAAGAACTGTACAAGAAGCTGAAAGACTCTGTCAACTATGGGAGGGATTCCTGCACTGGGGAAGTTCATATTGTGGCACTTGGTTCAAATTCTAAATTTCTATGAGTTTTTAGTCCCAACCAATCTAAAGGGACTGAACATTGTTCAGTGAAAACAGATAACCTCAACAAAGGTTGAGGAACTTGGTTCTGAGGCAACACCAGAGTCCTCATCCTGCATGACCTCCCCTTACAGAAGCTCTCTGTGGTGATCAACACCTTCTTACCTTCTGGGAAGATGAGGATAGGTAGCTTGCTTTTATCCTGCACATGCTCGGTCAGTCTTTAGAAGAGAAAAATAAAACAAAGAGTCAGACAGCCTTACGTCCATTATCACCAAAATGCATTTATTTATAAATAACCTACATAGATGTGACACTAGATGCTGTATAAAACCAAGGGAACAAATATGACCCTATCTTTTATAAACCTCAAACCTAAATCTCACAAAGATAAAACTTATAAGGATGGAAAATCAGATGACTACTACACTTAATTCATACACTTATTATTAAAGTGTGGGTAAAGAAGACATTGCTCAGACGTGGTACTGTCTGCAAAACACACGTGCTGCAGGGTCTTGCAAAGAGCACCCCTTATACATGCTTGCTGCTGAACTTCCTGACAGCCTTGCTGGGCTGGACCTCCAGTCTACTTGGCTTTACACTCTGACCCTGACAGATGCAGCAAAAGGACTTTAGTGGTAGGTTCATTTGTCCCTATGGAAGATGGTCTCAGTTAGGTCTGGATACCTCTCAATTTACTGCAAAGCTCTTACCATTATTTGCACTAGATTAATCTTTTTCTCAAGCTTGAAAACAGGGCTGCCCTTTGTTCCATCGCCTTAAGTTTATTTTTATTTGTGATAATAAATTCACTTTGAGATTTCAAATAGCATCAAAAGTGCATATGTTGCTTGTTACAATGGGTGCAAGAAATAAGGTTTAGAAATATTACTAACTTGGTAAATAATATTAAGATTTCTATGCTTTTTATATTATATGTTTTAGAAAAAAATATTTTTATTATAATTGCAGGCTTAGTGTATAAGACACTATAATTCCACTGTGGAGGGATAACTACCTCTAAAATGCACACTTTCTCTTTAACTGGGCATACAGACAATAGCATTTTGTTGATATACCTTTTAGCCACTAGGTGGCGATCTTTCACTTCAGACCGCTCAAACCAGACGTGAGGGCAGGCCTTCACCATGGCTCTCTGAATCACACCCATGAGTCCCCCGTGCACTTGACCCACCTAATTTCAGACAAAGGAATAACTGGCAGTGAAGTCACCCTCACACAAACCCCCACTCTAGGCAAAAATCCAAGATCCCACAAGATAACCACCCCAACCTCTCACACTCTAACATTTTACTGACAATCATAGGTTTCTCACTATTAAGAAACCACTATACTAAGATCCCTGAATCTTTTTTTTTCCTAATCCTCACCTGAGGGCATTTTTCTATTTATCTTCAGATAGAATGGGAGGGAGGAAAAAAAGGGAGGGAGAGAGAAACATTGACATGAGAGGGACACATGGATTGGTTGCCTCCCACACAACCCCAACCAGGGCCGGGGACAAACCGCAACTGAGATACGTGCCCTTGACCGAAATCAAACATGCCACTCATTGGTCCAGGGCCAAAGCTCTAACCGATGAGCCAAACCGGCCAGGGCAATTCCCTGAATCTTAAATTTCTCTTTTTAATCAGTGATACCAGAAATGTGTAATTAAAAACACAGCTGAAAATCCAAAAACAAAATAATGAAGTTGAACGATACCGTGTAAAAATGCCCCCCTGGGCAGGATTCTCCAATCCCTTGAACCCAGTCCTTTCAAATCCTCCCTCTTTATCTTTACCCCTTTCCATGTTGCCTGAAAACCCAAAGTCTAATGTCCAGCTATACTTTCAGTTACTGTGCTCAGAATATCTGCTATTAAAGTCCCAAGGAGTTCTCAGAAGCAACAGAAACAAAGGCAAAAATCTAGGTTGGGGCACTGATCAGTTTTTGGCTCAGTGGTTAGAGTGTCGGCCTGCGGACCAAGGAGTCCCGGGTTCGATTCCAGCCAAGGGCACATACATCGGTTGCAGTACGTCCCCAGCCCCAGTTGGGGTCATGTGGGTGGCAACCAATTGAAGTGTGTCTCTCACATTGATGTTTCTCTCTCTCTCTCTCCCTCCCTCCTACTCTGTCTGAAGATAAATGTAAAAAAAATATCCTCGGGTGAGGATTAAAACAAAACAACCCTGTTTGGGGGTGGGTGGGCAGGATAGGGAGGAGGGTGTCTGTGGGGGGTGGGGGGGAGAGAAACATCTGTAACAAAAATAAATTAATGAAAAAAAAAACACGTTTAGCCCAGAGCATCTGTCCACAGACCAAAGGGTTTTAGGTTCGATTCCCGGTCAAGGGCACATACCTGGGTCGTAGGTTCAATCCCCTGCCCTGGTTGGTGTCATGCAGGAGGCAACCAATCAATATGTCTCTCACTCACATGATGTCTCCACCCCTCTTCCACTCTAGTTAAAAATCATAATATCCTTGGGTAAGGATTAACAAGACCAACAAAAATTGTTTACCTATTTATACCCTTAAGAGCTCAGTGAAGGGTCCAGAAGCCTCCCAGCCCTGACCAGTCTCCAAAGTAAGAAGTCTTGTCCCAAGAAAGCAAAAGAAAGTAAGTCTTACCATGGCATAATAACCGTCACTGGCCAAAATAATGACGTCAATAGGAGAGGTATGATTGGCCACACAGATGCCACCATTTCTAGGCCTGTTTATCCTGTTTAGAATGTATGCAAAGCAACAAAAATTTTTATAAAACAACTCCATTGGAACTCATCCCTCACCTCAGCTTCAACAACTCTAACTGAAAGCTTGGAAGAGCCCTGGTTGGCTGGTTGTAGCTGGGAGGTATTTTGCCAGTGCCACTTCCCTATCTCTTACGCTACTCACCTGTCGTGATAGGTAATGATGGCTGTCAGGGCTCGCACACAGATCCGGTAACACATTAAGTGAACGTGTTTACTCAGGAACTCCTTAAACCTACAACAGGACAAAAATTTGTGTTTTTATTTTACATACAGTACGACAGGAAAAGTTACTGACTCCAACAATTTAACTGTCACAGTCTACAGCCCTTTATGATTACAGAGTATTTTCACAAATATTAGTGTATATGTACTCTATAATTTATTAGCATCTTTATGCCCATATAAGAGGAAACAAAGTAATGATGAGAATTGCTTAAATTCACCTCAGTAAATGGGTTTAGAATTCATAGCCCTTGCCTGGCCGGTGTGGCTCAGTGGACTGGTGCATCCAATGGACCGAGGGGTCCAGGTTCGATTCCTAGTCAGGGCACATGCTAGGGTTGTGGGCTCGATCCACAGTAGGAGGTGTGCAGGAGGCAGCTGATAGATGCTTCTTTCTCAGACTGATGTTAATCTCTCTCTCCCTTTCTCTCTCTCTAAAAAAAATCAATAAAAACATTTAAAAAAAAATTCATAGCCCCAGAATTTCCTACACAGGTGTCTACTAGCTTTCCTTCCTTCCCAGGAACACCTAGAGGCAAGGCAAAGGCCAGAGTCCAACCTCCTAACCAGTATGGGCAGAAGAGAGGTTTGCCTGTTCCAGAATTTCCCAGAAAAAGCAATTTTTTCCTTCAAAGAACAAAACAAACAGAGAAGCACTACCTACATTTCTTACTGCTTACCAGTTTATGAACAGAAAAATGCTGAAAGTAAACAACATGCTGTAAAACCTGCCAGCCCTGGCTCTATGGCTTTGTGGTTTTTACCTTTAAAATGGGAAGTGTGTGAGGGTTGGAGGGCAAAAAGAACAGTCACAGACGAAGCTCAGTTAAAAAACAAAACAGACTTTAGTGCCAATGCCACTGTTACCATTGGGTTATTTTATCTACCTCAGACTCTGGTTTGGCTGTACCCAGAGAAGCAGCGTGGCCTTTAGTGCTGAAGCCACTATCCCAGAACTAATACCCTTCAGACAGGGACACTCCCACTCTACTCACCTTCCGTTTGGCAAGTACCCCACCATGGTTGTGCCCACCACCAGGAGGCTAATCCCTGTGAAAGCAAGAGCTATCCTGTAATGAGAAGACAAGTTAAAACACAGCAAACAAATCTGTGCACCATGTACATGTACAGAACTAAATGTGTGAAAATGAAAGTGGCATCATAAAACCAACCCCAAGATCCGATCACCTAGGACCTAGACTAGAGTTCCATCTAAAAATGTTAGGTCTATCAGAACCAGAGATCATCTTAAATCAAAACTGACAGTGACTATGGATTTAGCTCTCAGTGCACACTATATCCTTAGGCATCAGGAAGCCAGAATGATGGAAAATCCTAATGTTGGTTGGGTATCCTGCCCTCAAGCACCTGCTGTCCTGCTATCTTATCCTTCCCTTTGGCTTTAACATGGCAGAAGCACAGCCTCTCTGTGAAGCAACAGGAAGTAGAGCCTGAAGGTACCAGCATTTGGCAAGACACACTCAGAAAGCACACAATACAGAAAGACCAAGAGATCATTATTGCTTCCGTACTAGAGGAAGAAAGAATGAGCCCTGCCCAGGGAGGAGTGGCTGGAAAGTACAGCATGTTCCCTGTCTCTGTGTTTAGTCCATCAAGAAAAGCAATTTGTCTTTAGAAATCTACTATTTATGTCTAATATACAGAGAATGCAGGGTCTTTTAAGGATAATCAGCAGTGTAACCTTCCAAGGGTCAGAGGGACTGGCCAATGAAAGAAACCTACTACCTTTCTTTCTAAAATGAGAAAACAAAGCAGGGAGACACAGGTAAGCAGATCATGCATGGAGCTTAGGTAGCAGCAGCTCAAGTCCTTTGCCCACTCCTGGGGTCCTGCCCTTACCTGAGAGGCAGGAGGAAACAATACCGAATCAGCACTCCTAAGCCCCATAGGACAGTGAGCCGGAGGCTGATGTACTGGAAGTTGTAATTGGTTCTGCTCAGCAGGTTCCAAGACTCCAACTCCTCCGCTGAGAATCTCTTTGTCACCTCATCATCCATAATGGTCTCCATTCCTTTCCGGCAAAAGTAGAAAATGTCAGAAAGCTCAAACTCTGGAGTATTATCCAGAGCCTTACTGCTACCACTTCGACGAATTTCTTTGATCTCTTCTTCTAACGAAGTACAATCTTTTGCAATAATTCCTGCAAAAGAGAACACCCTGTCAAGCAGCATACTGGGAGAGAGCATATTAAAAATGCTCAGAATACACAGCCCACCTTTTACATAGTGAAGAGTCTGTGTGGAATAAAACATATTTCAAAAGGGAACTTTTAGGATAAGGACCTCTTAAGACCTAGCCTTACCATTGGTATAGGGCTTATAGAGTTGGTGGTTCTTCTCTTTGGCTCCTCTCTCCATTCTCAAGGTCGCCCACTGCAGGGGGAAAACAGTAACAATTAAGAATGAAATCCTTTCTTTCAGGGAACACTTCCATTTCCATTCTGCGAAAGCCCTGTCACCTGAGATCAGACTGAAACCAAGAAAGCACCCATTGCAAAAGTGAACTCAAAGCTCTCTCCTCTTAGAGCAGTTCCCCTCCTTGATAACCAAAACCAAGAATTACGTCACCTACAGGAAAGAGCTGGAAACTAAGGAGCATGGGTAAGTTTCTAGCTTCTCACTGCCTAACTCTCCATCTCCAGTTCCTTAAGGAACTCCCTAGCTGGCAATACATAGACTTCACACGATCCTTCTTTACTACCAAACAGTAGCTATTCACAAACAGCAAAAGCAAGAATCCTTTCAGCCACTGCCTGCCACGCAATGCTGCCTGCCTCCCAAATTATTCCAAGAAAGTGAAATTTTAGTTTTCAAGTAGGTAAAAGGATTTAAATAAAATATATGCCTGGACTATCCATTTACCCTCTGAGTAACCTTTTAACAGGAGAACCTCACTTGATATAGAAACACCTAAGAGTGGCTGTGTTTAAAAAAAAAAAAAGTGTTAGTACAGAAGACCACTATTTGGTGATTAAAAAAAAAATCTAGGTTCAAACCCCAAGTTTGACACTATGTCCCTTAAGTAACTCATTGCAACACTCTGAATTTTGGTCTTTTCCATCTACAAAACAGAATGATAGTAGATGTCAACCCACATCACGAGATCACTTAGACAAATGAAATTACATTATGTGACAGAACTTGGGCAAGTGCGTAATACCCTAATTGTCCTCATTATTACTGAAATATTAATCAACTCTGGAAGAGATCTAGAAAAGAGAGGCTTTTCCTGAAGCCTCCCTTTTCTTCATTAAAACCCTTTTAACTAAAGAAAGAGTCAGAGGCTGGGTCTCTCCCACTATCAAATAATGAGAAGTGAAATCACGAACTCATATATCACCTACAGGAATAAGTTGTCACCAAATAGAAAGTTATGTCCATGGCCATCAAAGAAATAGAATAGATATCTTAAAAGGTGTCTTGTCTTTTTTTTTTTTTTTATCCTCACCCGAGGACATTTTTTCATTTTTTGTTCAGGTAGAGTGGGAGGGAGAGAGAGGAATAGAGAGAGAGAGAGAAACATCGATGCGAAAGGAACACATGGAGTGGTTGCCACCCACACAACCGACCAGGGCCGGGAACAAACTGCAACCGAGGTACATGCCCTTAGCAGGAACCGAACCCGGGTCTCTCAGGACCGCAGGCCGACGCTCTAACCGCTGAGCCAAACCGGCCAGGGTGTCTTGTCTTTTTTTTTTTTTTAATTTTTTTCTTTATTGATTTTAGAGAGAGAGGAAGTGAGAGAAAGAGAGAGAGAGAAACATTGATGAGAGAGAACAATGACTGGCCTCCTGCATGCCCCCCACTGAGGATCGGGCCCACAACACGGGCATGTGTCCTGACCGGTGACCTCTTAGTGCATGGGTCAACGCTCAACCACTAAGCCACACCGTCTGGACTAAAAGGTGTCTTTTCAAACATGTTTCCAGTTATGCAGGATGGGGAAGAACCCCCATTCCCTGACACAGCAAAGTCCACACAGCCCAAAGCATTTGGTGTGGATTTTTCTGATGGAGCCTTAAGTGTTGGCAAGACACTCTGCATGGTCTAAAGAGCCAAAAGCAGGACACAAGTTTAATCAGTGATCTGACCTCATCCAAAAACTCCTTCAAAATTCTGACTGAAAAAACAGATGTCTTACAGAGTCACCCATTCAAAGAATGCTCTGGGGTTCGAAGGACCCTTTCACAGGGGTCGCCTAAGACATAACAGTAGCAAAATTACAGTTATGAAGTAGCAACAAAAATAATTTTATGGCTGAGGGTCACCACAACATGTGGAACTGTATTAAAGGGTCGCAGCATTAGGAAGGTTGAGAACCACTGCTCTAGGGCAAGAAACCTCATATAACCCATTTTCTATATTTCAGATATTTAACTATTGATGTCTTTTGGTTCTATGCATGGATGATCTTTTCTATAAGAAAATGTAAATATAACTCCTAAAATGGAGGAAGGTGAATTTCATCTAGGGAAGAGGTTAATAAAGGGCAAGAGAGGTTACAACAGCCTGGCATACAGACAGGTCACTCAACCAGAGTTTAAAGAGCTTTCCCATTTTGGCCAAGACTTTGTATTAGCATTGTAAGCATTGTCAAAATCAGAAAAACAGTACACAATGAGAATAGTTCTGTACTGACAATTCTGATACTTAGATTAGGATTGCAACAGGAAGGTGATGTATGACATCAGGTTTCCTGAGCATGGGAATTTAGGTATGTAAGGACTGCTTCACTATGCAAAATTTAAGATGTCTGTAGTTTTTTTTCATTGGAAAGGTACTGCTTAAATGAGGTTCATTATCTCCTAACTCTGTAACAAAACTCGTCATAAACATCCCCTTGCCCTCCTGCTTTGTACATTACAAAATGCTTCTGTACTTAGAAAAGACCTGTAAAAGTTATAACAGGGGAAAAGAGAGCAAGGTGGAGGATTATTCCTGTGAAGGAATGGCTGGATTACTTCACCCTGGTGCAGAAGACAGAATGAAAGAGGTGCTACACATTAGCAGTGTCAGATAACTACACAACTGGCTTTTCTGTGCTGTCACTTTAAGAAGTACAGTGCTCAGACATCCAGAATAAAACTGAGAATCCTAGGTTCACATTTCATTTCCCTATAAACCTCTCCCTTCCTGTGAGATGCCATTTACTGCGCTGTCAGTATCAGATTACCAAATTATTCCCTTTCAGTTTCTGACAGACAGAGAAGAGACCATTTAAGGGCATTAACAATGCTGCTTCTAAGGTAACAGTAAACCCTTGGCAGGTGAAATGCAGGCCCGGCCCTGAGAAATACCAATGGTTCAGCAGTGCACTTTTGCCAGTTATTCACTCTACTGGACACTACAATTTAGTAACTAATCACATGAGTAAGGTCTAACAGTCTTAGCAACACTAATCTCAACAGAAACCTTCCCCTCCTTTTCAGTCAGCATCCATTACATTTTCCCATGAACAAGCTAGATATACCCAAAGAATCAGACCCTTAAAAAAATCTGGCTCCCATCATCAATTGTCTTCTAAGTCCCAAGCAAAGGCTACATCTTTTAACAACTCTTCTCTCCCTCCTTCAACTATCATCTCTAAGTAGCTACTGCCTAATCTGTGAGTCTTGACTTCACAAAAGTGCCAACCTCACATTTCCAATCACCTGCTGATCACTTCCCACACCAAGTTCGTCCAGCAGGTTAAGAATGAAAGGCAGCATACCTCCTTCCAACCCAATGTGTGCCTCTCCTTCTGGCCCTCCTCCTGTAGTGCTAGGATCACTATCCCTGTCACCCAAGCTTTCAGGCTTCCCATCTGTCACCGACTCCAATCAATCCTCCCCTGAAACGGCTGTCTTTCACATCTGCCTCGTGTCATGCCACTAGCTTCTTCTCTTGCCTACACTACTAACACAACAGCTCTTTAATTGCTCTTTCCTTCCTCCAATCCATCTGAACATATGCTGCCAGTCTGACCATGTCACTTCCTTGCTCAAAAACCTTCAGTGGCTTCTCTATGCCTAAGGAAATATTCGGCTTTATAGTCTATCTCATTCCCTCCGTGCACCCAACGATTTTGCTCTACAGAACTATGTACTCTCTCTAAACGAGACTGTATTTTCTCATCTGCAATTCTAGAATGATTTTTGCTTCTTATGACAAGAGTTTTTTAAATTGTTGACTGAGGTTTGTTTTTTAAGATCCAGTTCAAATGCCAACATCTTAAATGAAATGTTATCTACCCAATTCTTGAAGTCAGAATTAATCTTGGCCTGTGTATTTAAACTGGCATCACACTATGAACCAGTTATATATGCATTTATTTGTCATTTTGACTATGCTATAAATCCCTTGAGGGGCAGGAGCCAGAACCTACCTATATTTGTAACTCCAGCAGAATCTGATAGAGTGCCCTGCACTTAGTACGCAGTCATTAAGGGCTGCATTTAATTAACCAACTCCCAATATTTCTTTTTTTTTTTTATCCTCACCCGAGGACATTTTTCCATTCTTTGCTCAGGTAGAGTGGGAGGGAGAGAGAGGAACAGAGAGAGAGAGAGAAACATTGACGTGAAAGGAACACATCGAGTGGCTGCCACCCGCACAACCGACCAGGGCCGGGGACAAACCGCAACCGAGGTACATGCCCTTAGCGGGAACCGAACCCGGGTCTCTCAAGACCGCAGGCCGACGCTCTAACCGCTGAACCAAACCGGCCAGGGCCCAATATTTCTTTTCAAGGTCCATATGAAAAGACAAACCTGAAATGATAAAACCTAAAACTATCTCCCATCACCTACCCCTTCACAAAAACATTCTCATCTTCTTGATTTCATCCTGTAAGCTACTCAAGTTTATGCCCCTTCTCACTGGGTTGGGGAGGACATATCTGATTAAAATTATCTCTTTCTCTTATAATCATGTGAAGCTGGTATGACTATTCCCATTCTTTAGATGAGGAAGCAGATTGGAAAGTCTGATGACTTAGGTCAAGTTTAGGAGCTGGTAGGAAAAGTCCTGCATTTAGAAACTCATGCCCATCTTACCACATCTCCACTAACTGTACAGTCTATTCAATTTCTTCATGGTTTTTATGACTCTCCACCAATCATTTTGGCTTTGGAGTTTAATGTCAATCAGATTACAACTCTCCCATCTTCTCTAACCTGACCTGATCAACCCTTTCCATATCAGGCAAGAAAATGTGGGTCATTTATTTTCATCATCTTTCTCCTTTATAACCAGGCTTTCTTCTCTCCTCCTTCCCAAATCATTCTCAACTCCACTGAAAATTCACTCTTAGGAATTCTATCTCAAATAATACCATCACCACTATCTTGAGGGTAAATCTGAAGCACAAACATTTTAAGAAAACTAAACACTTT